GTGTGGGTGGGGTGTGGGTGTGGGTGTGGATGTGGGTGTGGATGTGGGTGTGGGTGTGGGTGTGTGAGGGTGTGGGTGTGGGTGTGTGAGGGTGTGGGTGTGGGTGGGTGTGGGTGGGTGGGTGGTGTGGGTGTGGGTGTGGCTAGGGTGTGGATGTGGATGTGGATGTGGATGTGGATGTGGCTGTGGGTGTGTGGGTGTAGCTGCGACTGTGGCTACGAGTGTTCGTGAAGACGTGAGCAGCATTCACACCAACAACGCCACTGTCTCCCTCCACATTCTCATTGGAATGTGATCAAAAGTAGCTTGTCTTGGTAGGGTGGGAAATCTTTTTTACCTGTCAATGGACTCGTTTAACAAATGTTGATCCGAGACAGAAATGAATTTTATTTGCTTCTCTCGCTACTGTCTGGCTTTTATCACTCTTTATTTTTTATGCTTCAATCGTTTACAAAAAAATACGAATTTCTGAGTGTAATAATTTTGTTGTGCAATTCTGATGACCATATGGGAATATTAGCATTCTTGTCCGTATGAGCTGATAAAAATAGGCTTTCAGAACCCCTGTTTCTATAGTCAACCACATTTGACGCATAGATATATGGCTGATTAACCGACCACCCAAATATCGAATCACCACTAGCTCCACGACCCATGTTGCAATTGTGCAGATATGAACCACGACTCACTTGTTTGATTATATGACATCCGACATGTGCCCCTGCAGCCTTTCCATTTTGAAAATTTGTCGAGTAGCCTACCAATGTAACGTATGAAGCTAGCATGAAACTGTCGCTCAGTGTGCGGATTCGAAGGTAGCCATACTGATCGCCCAGTGTTTCGCTGAGACGTGACAAGGCTCAATCATATTGATGTTGTGCGTCTCGATCTGTTGTACACCACCATACGTAGCTGATTGATGATGAGACAGATGCAATTTCATTAATTTTGTTCGGATAGAAATTTTTTAGGGTGTGGATGTGTGCCTTAGTTATAAATCCACAAGTACAGCCTCAGCTACACCCGCACCCACACCCACGCCCCTCATTATATGTCAAACTTGATTCTGACGTGTTGTTTTGTTCTTTTAGAACGAGTTAAATTGATTTGATGAACACAAATGAGTGACTATATATCGTCGATCTCAATGCTTGAACACTTTTCGAACGAACTCCTTATTGAAATTTTTGAATATTTATCGGTTCAAGATTTGTACAATGGTTTTTATGATCTCAATATTCGATTTACATCGATTCTTGCTTCTCTTACTAATCTCTGGGGCAAATTAGCATCGAATAAAGATGCTCTATTGCCTGCCTTTCGTTTCTTTGCTTCTTGTATTACCATGTTGGATGTCGATTACGAAGATCCCATTGATTTGTCTTTATTTCATGCTATTCGTTCACTTCGATTGGCCAGAGAACCAGATTGTGGTATATCTTATTCGATTTTGGCACTTTCTAATCTTGAACGTTTGTACGTTACCAATCATTCTTCAATGATTTTTGAAGCCAAGAATCCATTGTCTGCCTTTGTTTTCGGCAATTATTTTCCTCGTCTTCACACATGTCAACTTTCTCAAGTTAAATTAAATAAGGATTATAAATGGAGTATTGTTCCGTCTCTTCGTTCATTGTGTATTTCTACAGATGATATACTCGTATACACCCAAATACTTCAATCGTGCCCATCTCTTGATCAATTGTGCATCGAATTTACAAATCACAAGTGTATGGTTAGTTCATTTGATTGTACGCCTCATCAATTTCTTCGTCGATTGAATTTATACATTCAATATATTCGTTTAATAAACTCTCAAACGATCGATTTATTACTTTCTGTTGTACCCAATCTTATTTATTTTTCGATTAACAGAATTCATAACAATCGGAACCCACTAACAGATGATTCCCTCGTTCCTATTTTACATAAACGTCTGCCTAAACTTCGCCATTTTCACATTAACCGTATGTATTATAGGCTTGTAACGATACTATCCGACTCTGATGATGACTCTGGCTCTGTTGGTGATGATGATCTCTAATGATCTCATGGTTCTGGCATCTACCGATTGCGCTGATCATTTCGTTCAAATAATGGACTAAGACACTTCATTGTTTCTAGGTGTTAGAGAGCACTAACAACACATTTTCTTATGTTGTTCTTTTTTGTTGTATGTGCACACGTCTTCATTCTAGTATGTATTATTCACTCTTGCATACGAAAGTGAAACTTTTTTTCTTTCCCTCTCTCTCACTTTCCTCTTTTCGCATTTTCTTTCGTCCGTCGCAATTTCACTAAATTCTCAGCCATCATTCGACTCCAAATTGAAGTGCATTTAAAAGATGATGCTTGACATAATCTTCATCATTATATAGGCTATGCCGAAGTAACAGAGGGTGGATGAAGAGAACATCTACATCATGCTCGATTGGTATTCTTTTTTCGTTCATCAAATTTTCTTGAATCTTTTCGAACTGATAAAGAGAATCTTGAGAGGCTTTGCCAATATCAAAATATTTTGCTGTCGAGAATAGGTATGAGAGTTGGTTATATGAAAAATATAACAGGATCACTCATACAGCCAACCACAGGCACATCCACAACTTCAAGAACAGGTTTTATTTTATAAGCTGAAAAATAAAACAAATATGACCGAAAGCATTTTTCTGAGTTTTTGAAGATTCTTCCATTACTCTCGACTAAAAATAGACACAAAAATGCTTAGTTCATATTCGAAAATAGCAAAAGATCTAGATTCTTATTGATAGTTTTGAAATCGTTCAGAATATTACTAAATTAACCAAAAATGAATATTTTCTCTTAAAACTTTCGGTTCACTCATTGTCACACATGCACCTCATTCTCGTGTTTGATGATCGATAACGAAAGAATGCAAGAGCACTTAATCGATTTTTTCATACTATTATGCAGAACGCAAAAGAAAACATGTGTACCAAAGAGATTGATATTAAAAAAAATACATACTGCTCTTATCATGTAATTTACGTCTTACATGAGAAGCCCTTAACACTTGCAATCATTATTTCATTTCGTCACAAATAGGTTTGAGCTTGAGTGTATATGTGTGGGTGAAGATATTCATACCTACACCGACACCCATATTCATACATACTGTTCCTATGCCTTGTTTCTATGCATTTTGTATTCTTTTCTACCAAGGAACGGTCGTTTCTTTTTCTATGTTTTCATTAAAACTAGATCTGTGTAACTTGTTCTGGTACTTTAATCATGTAGTGAACTAGTTTTTTCTCCTTTCTTGTTCTTTTGTCACTCATTTACATCACCCAATACTTGTACTACTAACGAAAAAATAAATGCGCAGATAAACAAAAACAAAAAAATAGGAATTTTTTTAATATCGTCAACCAATGAATGACAAACAACAAATGCATCTACGTATTGATAAAAAACAAGAAATTCAATGTTGAATGTGTAATTCCTATCCTACTTGTATATCAGATGAGTGGCAGATACTTTCTATTTTTATCTTGAGGATGTGGGTGTGATAGTTTATTATCTGCATGACAACACCGACACCGACACCCACACCCTGTTGAACACCTAAAAAGACATGAAATGTAATAGACATATTTTTAAAATCCAAGAATTTCATGAAAAGAAATACATAAGCAGAACATGCACGTCTATCAACAAACATATTTCTTAAACTTGATCGAAGTTCAATATTGAAATTTGTTAATATTCTATCAGAATGAAAATCCTATTCATCAAATAATGATTATTCTAATTGTTGACATTGTTTATGTAAAAGTTTGATTCTATTTGGAATAACTTAAAAGTGACTACTTTTAAATCTACATTATTATGATATATTTGTTCATTTATTGTATTTATATCAATAGTATTCTCTGTTGTTTTTAATTGACATTTGTGAACGTTGTAGAAGATTTTTTGTAAAATATTAGTAAAATGACTTTCAATAAAATATTGATTATAGTTTCATACTAATTTTACTTTTCCATAACCTATTGTACATAATTCAAATAAATTAAATAATGTAATTGGTTTATGTATCAGTAGATACAGCAGCATAGAGTGAATATGCTGATAATTTATATTCTTCTATATATTCTAATCGGCCATTAATAGATTTAGAAATAGTTATTAAAAATCATGAGCTTGTTTATAAATTGATGAAAAGGATTCAAGTAAAATATGATCAATTGATGTAACCTATAATGGACGATTTTCATGATCAATTATTGTTTTCATATCTTAACGAAAATCTTTCATTGTTTCACTATTTATTTTTGTTATATGTGACTGATTGAAAACATCATTTTTACTGTGAAGTGAATCCTCTAAACATCGAAATGAAGCTAATGCAATGAATATTTCTTTATCTCCTTCAATAAAATCATTATTTCTATTATTATCTTAACTTTTTCATAATTTCGATAATATGTTACAGAATTCTTTCGATGAATGTCATTTACTCATTTTCAATAGCAGCGTAGATATATCTTAAAGTTACGTAACAATGAATCCATAAGCCATTCTTATACATACAATAATAACTGTAATACTTGAGTCATCTTTTACCAGCTAACTTGCTTGATGAGTGGCAATCGAAAACTTTAGTTTTATGATATATGCAGAGCACGATATCTATACCATCTTGACACATAGCAAGCAAATAAATATAAGCACAGAAGGGAAAAATGTAAAAACTAATTAGTCATGTGTTTTTTATTTTTTATGACTTGAAAGAAAGTTGCCTACTACAATTTACCAAGAGGTGAATGAACAATTCTGATCAAATACATGTTGTGATGACGAAAATGTGAGGGTCGCTGACAACAACAACTTGCCTGAGTAACACACTCTGTACTATATTGTAAATAAATATCTTGTAATGTAATTATAGATCCGTCAAAAAAGTATACTACATGATTATGTTCGATTTGATTAAAATTGTTACTCTAGACTCTATCTGTTTTTTTTTGAACATGTTATTTTACTGTGAATATATGTAAAAATATTCGTTCTTTCACCTCATGTGTAATTAAAACATAAGCAACCAATTATTATCTAATATTATAACGGACCATGGCAATCATTACCGACCATTGCTAATTACCGCAAATAGTTTTTTTTCTGCGGCAGTTTATTGTTATTACATCTTGAGGACTTCCGGGATAAAGATATTTTTATGTTGCCATCATATTGTGTCATAGGAACAGCCGTATTATTAGCCCTATGTGTACGGAGAAATATGTCCTAAATGATTCTATTCTATTGGCGCGTAAGTTCTGAGAGTTTGGATCAGTAGAATAATATCTCCAATATAAAACTACATTTTAAGGAAAGTAATTATATATTCTGATAGTGCTCGGAATTCTCTATCATCCTGTGTATTTAAGTCTTGACTTCCATTTATTTGCTGAAAAGTATTTTGAATACAATGAAGACACCCTCACCCGCATTGACAATATTCGAAATATTTCTCAGCAAATAAGTTCAAGTCAAGAACTGAATACACAGGGCGATAGAGCATTTCAAGAGCTCTCAGAATATATAATTACTTTTCTAAAAAACGGATTACTATATAGATAAAAATTTTAAAAACACATGAGAAAAAAAGAAAACATGAAGTTCGTGGGAATCTGAGGGCGAACGTGTCTTCACTGTACTCAAAATATTTTTCAGCAAATAAATGGAAGTTAAGACTTAAATAAGCAGGGTGATAGAGAATTTCGAGCGCTATCAGAATATATAATTACTTTCCTTAAAATGTAGTTTTATATTGGAGATATTATTCTACTGATCCAAACTCTCAGAACTTACGCGCCAATGGAATATTTGTAGAACAAAGGACAGATTTAAGAATTTTCAGACAGATTACACACCATAAACCGCATTTTTTAATAAAATTTGCAACAAGATCTGATTCAAAAAATCATCTCAACATAAACCACTTTCCTAACATCTTCCTATGCCCTAGGATGATACTTTTGACATCCTCAAAAATTATTTGTATTAATTAGTTATAAGAAAGATTTTTGCTTTCTATGTTTAGATGCCATAAGTTGCCCTAACAACAAATAAAATCAATTTTTTAGAAAAACTTAAGCATGTCTTGCACTTAATGACAACTTTACTTAGAGTTGACCAAAAGTATTGTAAGCATTAAATAAAAATATAAAAATAAAGAAATATTTTAATTTATCAAAGGTCAGAGAGAGTTGCCAAGGTTATTTAAACAAAATCCATTTCTTTCTAACCGCTAATTAAAAGTTTTTTCGAGCTCGTTGTGTGAAAATTGTTAAGCTACCTTAGAAATCACATAGGCGAATTATGTTTTATTTATTTTACCAGTTAAATAACATTCGATATAATTATTTAATCGAAGATTGAATTGTCTTAGGTCTCGTAAATATGATAGATATTGTATTATACTGAGGCTTTCTTCCGCTCAATAATGAATTACCTTTCATGACTATGCAATTAATGATGGTTATGAAGCGATTTTCTGCTTTTTTGCACCTGATATATCTGCTTGTTTCTATGTTTCGTTAACGAAAGACTTCTGACAGTTTTTGGTAGCGTGACTGTCATCCGTAGTCGTGCCATTCACTACATTGTGCTTAAGAGCATGACCATTTGGTTTAAAATATATAAGAAATAACATTTTCGATTCAAAACCATCCTGAGAATCAATACTCTTTAGCAAGCCATATTCATAAATCCCTTTAGTATTAGTTCATTTGTGGTTAACATGTTTATATTACATATATATATCTAGTGTTCTTTAATAACATCATATAATTGCCATGATAATATCAAGAACTATCGCTGAATTTTCACTGGAGAGAAGTCACAAAATATCTGTTTTAGTGTGCTGTAAAACAGAATAGTCTCAGCTGTAATATGATTATAAGTTCAAAATGAATCAACTCGAATAACCTATCACACCAGCTCAATAATTATATTCGTAAGTTCGGAAACTGGATGACTAAATCGACATCAATCATTCACATTTTCTCTTCTTTTACGAAAATGTATCTTACATCTTATAGTTGTTCGATACGATAGTATTAAAACCGAACACTATTGTAAGCCCTTCCCTGATGGTCTTTCCATTTATTCCCTAGGTAGTGCGAGTTTTTACAGAACATCGGCCGATTTCATTTTGCACTTTTCAAATTCTTTTTGTTTTTCGTTGCAATTAGATCTTATCTGAAAGAATATTAGAAATTAATCAAAAATAGATTTATTATATATGTTATTACAATAGTTCAGTTTTTATTGGTGACATAATCATAAGATGTTTTTTCATACCCTTCGAAAATTATTCGATCATTTGTTTGTTGTTTGTGATCTCTACAATATAAATTTTTCTGTATGACATATCATTCAAAAGAATACATTATTTTCTACACCAAGCATTGGTTTAGTTGCATTGTAAATCAATAGTTTATTCTAGGAGTAATTAATCTTTTCCAATGCATAGTATATCTTGACATAAAAAAGTTTCAAAAATTACATTACACATGTTATCAAAATAAATAATTTGTGACATAAGTTTGAGTTGGTTAGTCCTAATCCAAATCAGTGTTTTATCTACCGTATGGGCAGGGTGGGCGCCGCCCACCCGAAATTTCGATTCGCCCACCCGAAATTATAAAGTTGATTAAAAAAAAAGTAGATGTTTTCTTTCTTCCTTTCACTCTGATCTCATTATCGCTCAGTTATATGAATACTATTCATATCACTCAGTTCGACTATTCATTGAATAGTCGATTCTTCGTTATGAGACATAATAATAGATTGAAAAGAAAAAAAATGAGAAAATTCATTGTTCTTTTCTATCGGGCTAAATTATCCGTCGCTTCGCATACTTCACATTAAACATATTCATTCTATTCAACTTCGTTACGACTCATCTCTAAATAGATGTCATCAGGACAAAAATCTCTCATTTCATATTTTAAAAGAAAAGAAAACGCAGAAGAGTCTGACAATAATTCCAAAAAAAAAAAAATGATAATTCAAATAATATTGAAAATAATAATTCAAATAATATTGAAAATAATAATTCAAATAATATTTTAAATGATAATTCAAGTGATATTGTACATAATAATTCAAACAGTATTTTAAATGATGATACAAATTATACTGTAAATGGTAATACAACCAATATACACGCACTTTCAAATACTGAACCATCATGTGATATTCAATCGAATATTACCGAAAATAGTTCATTATCCACAACAATAATAACAACAAATGACAATAAAAAACGTACATATCAAAAATGGTATTCAAAAGACTATAAGTGGCTTGTTTATGAACCAAATAAAGGTGGATTTTGTTGCATATATCGTGATTACTGGAAACCAACAGTACCATTCTATTCTGAGATGAATACAAGAACAAGAAGTGTTTTTACTACACAACCGTTCGTCAATTGGAAAAATGCACCTGGTCAATGTGGAACTTTACAGAAACACCAAGAATCTACTTATCATAGAACAGCTGCGCAAAATTTATCATTTAGGCAGACAGAAGGATCAGTAGCACAACAATTATTTAATGCTAGTGAATTGGAACGTCAAGAAAATCGTCAAAGATTTGGTGATTTATTAGATGGCGCATATTTTTTATTTAAGCATGAACTTCCACATACAACATTATATGCACCATTACTGGAAGTATTATCAAAAATTGATCGCAGTAAAAAATTATCAAAATTTTTCGATAAATGTAAAAAGAATGCTACCTATGATAGCACAGCAACAGTAACAGAATTATTAGAATCAACAAGTGAAGTAATCGATAAACAAATCTTAACGAAAATTCATGAATCAAGAATAATATCAATCATGGCTGATGAAGGCACAGATATAAACCATCATCAAAACTTATCAATTTGTATACGTTATTGTAATCAAGATACAGGTCAGTATATTCTTGCTCTGTATTGACTCGTAGGTGTTACAAACTGTTACTTTCTAGGTGAGCCAACAGAGTCATATATTAGTTTATTAAAAATAAAAGATAAAGATGCACAAACAATATTTGACACAATTATTAAAGAATTAAAATCTAAAAATATTGATATGAGAAAAATTCGTTTTACTGGTTTTGATGGTGCGTCAGTGTTTAGTGGAGAATTTAATGGTGTAGCAGCAAAATTTCGTCAGATGTATTCAAATTCCATATTATTTATTCATTGCCGTGCTCATGTATTACAGTTGTGTTTATTATCAGCATGTGAAGATATAATTGAAGTACAAGAAAGTTTATTAACATTGAAATCATTGTTCAATTTTATTAAACGATCGTCCATTAGATTAGCACGTTTTAATGATATTCAAATGTTATTAAAACATCCACAGTTAAAATTAATTCAACCTTGTGATACACGATGGCTATCATATTCTCGTTCTATTATTGCTGTTATTCGTTGTTATGAACCATTAATGATGACACTGGAACATATTGCTAATGAAAGAGGTGAAGAAAGTCCATCTGCATCGGGTCTACTTTCAATTTTACAAGATCAATCAACAACATTCATATTGCATAGTTTAGAACCAATTCTTGAAGCACTTTCAATACTGTCGAAGTCCATCCAAACAAAAAACGGTGATTTTAATCAACTTGAACAATCAATGCTCGGAACATTGTTACGATTAGAAGAATTGAAAGACATTGATATTAATGAATATAAACAAATATTTGAGATTGTTGATAAAATAAAGACATTATCATCAAGTAATGTGAATCGTGATCGTATAACACGTGCAACAACAAGAACAAATGAAATTAGTTTAGAACAAATATTCAATGATAAAATAGTCAAATTTATTGATAAAATTATATCAAATATAAAAGCTCGATTTGAATCAAATGCGTTAAAATTCCTCAACTGTTTTCGTATATTTGATGTATCTGAAGTAACTAATGAACAAGAATATGGTATACAAGAAATTAATATTATCAGACAACAGTACCCTAATGATTTTAATGATGACTTACTAGCCGAATGGAAAGTATTTCGCAAATATTTATTTGTACAAAAACAACAGCAAAAATCTACAATTTTAACACAACGACAGCAATGTATTAATTTAGTCAAAAATGGAATGACAAGAGAAATGTATCCACAATTATCATTAGCTGCTGAAATATTTTTATGTGCACCAATTAGTACAGCAACAACAGAACGTGATTTTAGTACAATGAATAGAATATTAACTGATCTACGAAATCGTTTAACAACAGAACATTTAGAACAATTAATGAGAATATCAATAGAAGGACCATCTGATTTAGATGATGATTTAAAAGATTTAATTATTAATTGTTGGAAAATTAAAAAATCACGAAAAATTTCGGTTTAATTTATATTTATGGTTTTTTTCTCAAAGTGTTTTTTTAAGTGTTTTTTCATACTGTATTGATAACAGAATAAGTGTAATGGTGTTGTGAAAAAAAATAAATAAGAGTTTGTGTGCCTTTGCTATACAACAAAAATTTTTCAGTCGACAGCCCCTCCAAAAATTTCAACCGCCCACCCGAAAAATGAAACCTAGATAAAACACTGATCCAAATATTAAACAAGCATGGTTAAACATACTTTGTTTCTATATATTTATTCAAAGTCGTGCACAGAGTTTTGGAAAATCTCTGAATTTATAGTAAATTATGTTGTATAAAAAAAAGTCTAATGTTTGTAACCTAAAAGAAATCTACTCTCCTTAATGAAAAGTACTTTTATTCTCAATTTATGGATGTTGATAAATATAGATCTAAATTCACTATAGTATCGTGCTCGAAATTTATTATTGTATCAATTGATTCATAATGCATAAAAATGTCTTCGATATTTCATTCAGCATGAACCTAAGTCCTTATTAGGTATCTTGGCAACTCTTTATTATTACTGTGATTTATGAACTATCTGTTTGATTCTTGAAATCCAATTTATTTTAGTTCTGAACTATTGAAACACTTGTTTTCGAGTTTTGCTTTCTTGGTTGATACAATAAAATCAGTTAGTTCATCGTGTAGAAAACAATGCACTTTTTTGAATGATATATCATGCAGAGAGTTTTATATTATAGAAATTGAGAAAATAAACAAATGTTTGAATAATATTCAACTGAGGAGAAAACTATCATATGATTAAATTACCAATAACAACTGAACTAGTGTATCGATTTATCAGAATACGTTCATAAATTTATTAGAGATTAAGACCTGTGTTATGACAAAATTTTCATTGTTTCAGTTCATATATGTTGTGAGATATATATATATATATAAACAAAATATTCTGTCTATTGATCGAATAAATTTAGTAGTAACTGTATACACAACATAGATTTATCTGAGTCGCATATATCGAATATCCTACCAAGTCAAGTCTAACATTTCTAGTTTGACAAAAAATAATATATAAAGCTATTTTTCATGGTCATTCTCAGAAAAGTTATATCTACCGGTGGTTAATTACAATTCTTGAAGTCGATCACTAGCTTGATACTCATTTAACAGTCTAATAATATCTCTTATTAAGATTCATGTCAATGAAACTTGATATTCTGGATCTTTTCACCTAACTACTATATTTATAGCGATAGAAAAATGAAAGTTCATTAAATTAGTACGCATAGTTGAGAATAACATACATAGTTTATTTAAGAGAAAATAGCTTCAATTTTGATGATAATAGTTAACTGTATGAAAGAGTACTTCAGTGGTGCACAAGTAAAGTTAGATATTTGCTAAGTAAAAGTGTATTGAAATAATGGTAGAAATATTCTTACTTTTTATGAGTAATTATTGTTTTTGGTTTTAATTTGATTTCAGTTGAAGACGCTTTGGTGACTTAGAAATGTTTCTGAATGAAACTAATTGAACTTTCGAAACAAAAAAAAACACTACGTAGTTAAATACTGTAACATTTCATACACACATTGTTTCATGATTTGAAAACTTTTTTTCACTAAATTTTTTTTTATTTTATAAGATAAGATAGAACTTTTTTCCTTAAGAATCAAAGAATTGAAAGGAGCTAATATTAAAAAAAAACATGGTATCGTCGCCAGATATGAACTCGCTTAATCTAATCTGTACATAAGATTATTCGATCGATTTAAGTTCAATTATGAAAATTTGTTACTGCGCAAATCTTCATCACAATAGAAAGAAAAGAGAAAAAAAATATACTCAAATAACACTTACTAGATCTTGAACGGCTTTATGGAAAAACAAAATCGTCGTAAGAGTGTACACCATAACTAAAGCAATGATTATACAAAAGTTTTTTACCGTCTTCAAACAAAATAAAAAAGAGTTAGAAATATGATTTTAATTATCCTAGTAGTTAATTTATGTCACTTAGCATAAGAACTAAATAGAATAGAGTTTATGTTCATGTAAAACAAAAATCTACTTCGATTTGAGTATTCAATATTGAATAGTAAGCATGAGCAGGCAAAGAAATACAATAGTGAAACTGAGGAGAAGAAAGAAAACAGTGGCAACAAGTCGATACGAAGGGTATAAGAAAGAAAGAGAGCAGACACATACTCAAAAGAAAATAAGACTGATTGACAGTTACAAAATTCAAGAGTTCAGTACTCAAAAATTCTATGAGACTTCAGCACTACTAATTTGTATATATAATTATGCAAATGCTACTATTATTTGAGTGTAAAAAATAATAGTCAGAATACCACAATTAATAAAGGACTTGAAATATCTCATAACAAACAAAATCACACGATGAACAATGATATACTCACAGGATGATGTTGATAAGATATTTGTGACAATTGATTTAAGGGCAAAACAATTGGTACATTTTGTTTATTAATTTCATTTGTTGAAGATGACATACTAAATGATCAAATTGAAGAAGACTTGTATATGAGTGACTTATGTTAACGAATATGTGGCACTTCCGTAAAAGAGAAAAGTGTTTTTTTTGCTAAGAAACTATTTTTTCTACACTTACAAAATTGATTAAACAAACTTCAGATAACATGTTAGGAAAATGTAAATATATGATTCGATGCAAGTTCATTTTCTCTTTCGAACGATGGAAATCACAGATCTCTATCTTGTTTCTATTAAATGTTATTCAAATAATATCCACTGAAGAGGCTTTAGTATAACCGTCACATATGATAGAAAAATAGATGTTATTGAAATTTTATTATAATGATATTAGTTGAAATATGATCAAATAGCATAGAAAAATAGAACTTTCTTTTCTCTATCAGACTATATACAAAGAAAGTTTCTTAAAGTCTATTATACGGTATTAAAGTATTACTGCCACTACTTTTGGACTGCCCTCAGTATTTCTTGTAAAAACTCAGTTTCTAATAGAGATCATCATCATAAGGCATTTGTTTGCGCTTTTCTTGATCTAAGAACAGAGCAGAGCATCAAGGCGTCATATTCGGATGATGGCCTCTGATCTATAACAACAACATTCGAATACTAACGAATCGACTTTTAACACATATTATTAATTCAATAATGAAAAATAGCAGATGTATTACTTTGAGTAATCTAATATTAAGCTCTTTCAAAGATAAGTTTATTCTTATTCATCTTGGACAAGCATAGCAAATGTTCGTATTTTATTCAATTATGAAATTTATATAATGAACAACTTTTTTCTTGAAAATTTTTCTTTTTTAATATAGAAGAAGTAATCAATAAAATTTACAATCACAAAACATAATTTCTCTTGATTCTATATCTTTATTCTGAATGCTATGATGACTTTTTGAATATCATTAATCTTTACTTGATTTTTCATTGATGTAATATGAAAGCTGAATATATATATATATAAATTAATTTTTTTTGTAAACGTATTAAATATGAACTTGTTTCCATGTACTCATAGAAAATGGACGAAAAACTCAAAAATTATGATAGATTTCAATAGATATATTCATGATATCAATCATCAATTAATGTTTTTCGTTACGGAAATTCTATGATGTAATTTTTAAAAAAAATCACTTACAAATTAGATTTTTGGTCAGATTAGATTTGAAGAAACATGGATAAAAAATTACTTAGATAATATCTGAAATAAAGAATGAAAAGCAGCTGGAATAAATAGAAGAAGAATAGAGTATGTACTCCATAACAAAAAGAAAGAGATGCAAAATGTAAAAAAAAGAAAAAGAACTTAATTCAAGAGGAGTTTCTTTTAGGGGTATCACTTGAGTATTACGGGGTAATTCACCGATTTCATTTGTTATAAGTAGTCTTGATATGAAGACAAATTCGATCACTGTATTGAAAGAATGAACATCCTAAAATAATATATTAATTTGAAAAGAAGTTTTTTTTAAATTTTGTTGATATTATTTTTGTTTTACTATATTCTATCAAAGACTATTTAAATAAGAGGCAATCACTTTTAAACGAATTCGACTAGAAATGATGAGAAAAATCTTTGAAATTAACATTATCATTAAAAAAAATTGTAGGATTTTAAAAAAAAGAAGGGTCATATCAACTAAAGCATTGTCGTTCATTTTTTTCATTGTAATTCACATTTATATACTTTTCGAAGGTAAACATAACTGATGTCAAAGTAACACTTACGAGAAAAGTACTCGAAGTATACCCTCGACTTAGAGCTTATATTTTGCCCACAAATAGACCTCAATGTCAAAAGTTAAAGTCTAAAAGGATTCGTGCCGATGGGTAATTAAAGCTAATTTCTGATAATTTCACTGGATTTTCGATTTCAAACAAGGTAGTCATGGATAAATCAAACGATGGTATTTTGACCTGAAATTTTGCCCATAAAGAGATCTCATGATTATGAGAATGGCCTAAATATTTCAATCAAATCAAATGTTTTATCCTTGAGATACTGGATTTTCAAAAATGTTCAATTTTCTGACTTTTTGATATATGATTAGTTTTTTAGCCATCTAATATTTTCAAAAAATAAAGAATTTGTTTATGGCAAAATTTTTAGGACATTCTAATAATCATGAAATCTCTTTATGGCCAAAATTTCCGCTCAAAATACCATCGTTTTATTTTTCCGTGAATGTCTTATCTAAAGTCGAAAGTCCAGTGAAATCGTTATAAGTCAGCTTCAATAGCCTATGAGTACGAATCATTTTAGACTTTGACTATTAACCTTGAGGTCTACTTGTGGGCAAAATATGAAGTCTAAGTCGAAGGAACACTTCGGGTATTTTTCTTGTTAGTTGTATCGGTAAAAATCTGTTTGAAATCAAACTAAAAATAAACATTAATATTCTTATATAAGTTTGTACATAACTTTCGTTTAGTTTTATTCAGAATGGAGAGAAAGTTTCTAAAACTCCGAGGAAAAAAAGACATCTAC